ACTTTCGAGATCCCGCCTAATCAAGGCCAATTCATAGATATAAGCACGAATTCTCATCTAGTCCTTGTCGAAATTCAACTGCTGTCATAAATTCCCGGCCAATAATACTCAATAACTCGCCTCAACCAACACCCATTCTAATATCATCTTAGGCTCCGCATACCACCATGTCTAGTCTCCTTCAGCCCGTTGTTGTCGGGAACAAACTCCATCTACCCAATCGCGTGGTTATGGGTTCTATGACACGTAACCGCTGCGTGGATGACTGCAAGCCAGGCGGTGAACAAATTCAGCATTACTCAGAACGAGCGAAACATGGCGCAGGACTTATTATCGCAGAAGGCACTTTCATCGACTGGCAAGGCTGTGATTGGAAGTGGGCACCTCTCATGATCACCGAGGATCATGCGCAAGCATGGAAGAAAGTGACGACGGCTGTACATACGCAGGGTGGGAAGATTTACTTCCAGCCATGGCATCTTGGTGAGTGAAACCACTGGAGACGTAACGACTTGAAGTCCCTAACTTTTGACTATCTAGGTCGCTGCCAAAATGAACAGATTCCTCTTATGCAAGCAAAGAATCATCCGGTTGTTGCACCCTCCAAGATCCCGGCTCGAGGGGGCAAATACCGTGATCTTCCTGGCACTCCGGTATAAGTCTCACGACGTTCTAGAAACTTCTATTGACTAATCTACTTTGTTTCAGGGGCACACTCATAACATCACTGAAATTGAAAATCCGCGCGACTTCGTCAACATGTATCGACACTCTGCCATCCTCGCTAAAAGGGCAGGTTTCGACGGTATTGAGCTCTTAGCTCAAGGGTAAGCGCCGGCGTAGTCATGGCACGATACCTCGCTGAATATGATGAAGATCACTGACACATGCGCAGCGGATATCTTCCCCAACAGTTTCTCAACTCGTAAGTGCCCCTGCCCACTGTTTTTCATTGTGGTATCACGCTGACATAGCGAAAGACGCGCGAACATCCGCACCGATGCGTACGGCGGCTCTGTCGTGAACCGGTGCCGATTCATCCTGGAGGTGTCGGATGTTCTGGCCGAAGTGTTCGGTTCCGAGTTCGTCTGTATTAAACTCTGTCCGACAGATCAGACAAATGACTCTGTCGTGACTTATGAAGAGATGAAGGATGTTTATACCCACCTTATCAAAGAGCTTGTCAAAAGGCGGATTGGCATCATCAATCTTTCGCGGCGCGGTGCAAATCACAATACAGGAACAGGAGATTTCTTTGGGAACACTACACGGCCGGATGGCTTCCCTTTACCACTGGGTTACGATCCGGTTATTGACTTCGGACCTTTAGTCAAGTTTTCCGGAAGTCCTTCTATGCTTATGGCCAACTACGATTATACAGTCGACGAGGCGAATCGTCTGGTAGAAGAAGGCAAATTGGATTTGATCACGTTTGGCCGGCCCTTCATTTACAACCCAGTGAGTGTCTGATTCAGCGTGAATTCCAGGCTCCATTCTGACTTTGTCACAGGATGTCATCTTTCGAATTCAACATAGCATTCCTTTTGCAGAGAACAATCGAGGCAATAACGTTCATTACGGACCATTTGAGGAACCAAATCAAAACTATAATGATTGGCCCATTGCTGCTGCTTAGGCATCTTTGTGTTTCTGCAGGCTGTACTAGTAATCCTGAGAGCTATGATCACTTGGTGGGGAAGTTTTACGAATTACGCATACAAACATGGGGGAAGGGATCTCGAGGTTTACTAGGTAGTCGTCGGAATACATCGGAGCAAATTTGGTGTGGTCAGAGATTCGATGTTCGTTTTACCAAAATGCTAATGCTCAAGCGTTATGCCCCTTTTTCAATTGACCCCTCCGGCCTTTGTTCATGTAAATATTTCAGACCATCATTTCGTGTCTTCATCAAGGTAATAGCAAATCATGAATACGCCTCTGTCTCACGCCAGCTGGAGATACGACTGGCGATGACCAACCAATTCTTCAACGCTCGAGGTGGCGGGCATATCTTTGGAACAACCCCCCGATGTAGCTTTGGTAGTTCTCTCAAGCTCTTTCAAAGCACGGAAGCCTCCTCGAACACTATCAGCCTCAAAGCCCTTTGCACGCAGGACACTGGTCGCTACCCTGGCGCTGTCTCCGTCGTAGCACAACACTAGAATAGGCTTCTGTCGATATTGTTCCAACTCGTTGCCGACGTCTTTGTTCGAGTCAAATGTCGTCTCAAGCTTGAGCCATAGTTGTTCCAGAACCTTTGAGTCGGAGAACGGTTTCCAGTCACTGGACTCGACGATCGGAATATTTTCGGAACCTGCGACATGGTGCATCTGGTAGTCTTCGGATTGTCTCAGATCGAGAATGATCGTGTTTGGAAGGCGGGGGATAAGTGCAGCACTACTCGTATCGACATAGCGTGGTGTACTCGGCAAATGGGTTTCGTTGGTCCGGATAGCATCTGCAGACGGAATTTGCATGAAGACTTCAGTCGCAGTCTTTTCCCATGCCTCATCATAGCGGTGAAGGTCAACCTTTGTAAGGTTCTAAGAGAAAGGTCAGTCTTCTATTTGAGTATATCATGGGAAATGGGATCGTCCATACCTCGTTGTGGATTGCAGGGAAATGCTCAGGTCCCAATTTCGCAAAGTACTCATCGATGTACTGGTAAGGCAAATCGCAGCAGACAAAAACGCAGTGGATCTCGCCAGAATCGTCGGCCAGTTCATTCAGATTGCCGGCCGCGATACGCTTATCAAGGAACTGGTAAAGGCCTTGCAGGTTGAAACCTGAAGACGGACCGGCGATGAGGCCTTGTCTGCACAGGTCCAGCGAGAGCGAATAGGAGTGTTGAGAACCGACATGCTCAACGTGGTCGACTGCGGATCTCCATGGAAACTCTACTGGTTGAAGAAGAGCGTAGGATCGGGGGCCAGGAACACGATCGCCAGGCGCGGTGCAGACACCCAGCCGGTATACTGACGGCTTAGCCTGCTTGAAGTAGGTTCCAAGACCAGTTAGAGTGCCTATTAGTATGTTAGGCGTTGTCGACGAGACGGAGTTGACATCTTTCCTACCAGAAGTACCCATTCCTGCGCAAATGAGAGAAATCTGGGGCAGTTGCTTGAAGATTTGGGGTCCAGTCCACCGCACATGAGACTTCCAATTCTACCAAAATTTGTCAGTGCCTCCTCATCACTGATAGGCGCTAGGTTGCACCTACATCGTCATTTTCGTATTGGTTTGGGTTGAGCGCAGTGCCCTTATCGCTGCCCATGTTTCTTGCGGCACAAATGCCTCCTCGTGGGTCCAGAGGCTCAGGTTGAGAAGGGCCACCAAACAGGGTACTAACGATCAAGTAGTCAGCTATGCTGTTCATGGATCACCGAGCACCTAATGATAGAGGCAGAATATCTTACATGTCCAGTCCGAAGAACTGCATCAACCTCAACTTCGCTTGACTAGTCTTGTTGCTGAGAAAGGCCCGCACATCTGGCACACCGTAGTAGACTCTGGAAGCCAATGACATAGAGATGACCGTCGAGCCGGAACTGTACTCGACGATGGTCTCTGTCTTTCCTGGTACAACCCCATTCTGGAGCAGATTGAGTGCTGGCATAGCCTTGACGTTATTCGCAGGATGCATCGACATCATCTTGGCATAAATCCGGACGCCATGCTGACGATAGGGGTTCAAGGCTTCAGGTACCTCGACTAGTGGCAGCGGCGGGGCAACATCAGGATCGAAGTAGTTCCTGACGGAATCTGGCCCTGTATAGACATTTAAGTGATTGGGTTGGGCCATTACTTCTGATTTTCCTTCGGAGGACTTTGGGAAGAATTATGAAACAAAGAAGGGTGATATCGAACGGCACTGATTATCAGATGGTCTCATTATCGGAGACTGCGAGTGCTACTTTATAGTCTCTATTGCTCTCGGACTACCTGACCCATCGTCTGAGGGGTCAATGGAAGAGAGAAATAACTCAGCTATACAGCTCAAGTTATGATTCGACAGCATCGCTTGATCATCCTCCCAGGCGCGGCCACTCTTACACGCCGCGTATACCTGCGGTCAGTGGACCGTCATCTGGCAATGTAACTCTGCTGTGACATTTTTAGAGGGTAACCATGAAATCAAGACGCATGAAACTCAGCCTGTCAGTAATGTCGGGCATCCTTTCTGCTCGTTTCCATCCCACGTTCCCGACCATTCTCCAATAATGACGGACGTCGACAACCTTCAGAGCCTATGCTAACGCGATGCCCCTGTCAACATTGGTCAACACCACACTAAAGAAAGCCGATCGACACGAGTCATCAAGGTTATTCACGTTTGCTGACACCAGGTATGTTTGTCATAAAGGTACCTTGTGAGACAGGCAATATCTTGCGTCCTGCAAGGGCATACGTAACGACATCGTGTCGATCATCCTCCTGGGGAGTAACAACAGACCCCAAGAGACAATTAAAGAAAGTCGTAATCCGGCTCAAAGGTGCCGTGCTGAATGGATCCAAAACCGTTGCGCTTCGACGATATATAAGGAGAGCTCAATTGCGAAGTTTTGGGGGAGTCAGTTTGCGCTCGTTTCCCCAAGTTGAGCATGTTTCGCGGGAGCATCCAGCCAATCCACAAGGGTTCTCGTTGCCAAGCCCATCCCTGTCGGACGGGGTCAGATCGTCAGATGTCCGCGCAAGGGGTCTGTTTCCACCGGACCACTTACCGTCACGATAGTCTTGGAAACAAGCAGTAGTCACAACTTGGCATTCGGCAGTATAGAAACACAGATCAGGGGTTCTCGTGTTTAACAACGCACTGATGCGACTTTGGGCATGTCGCCATTTACCCTGATGGCCGGGGGTTCGGTCTCCGATCCTACGAACAGCCGAAGCCGGGAGCTTTCTTCCTAGTCTAGTTGCTTGCATCTTTTGAGCTGCGCGCACGCAGCCACATTTTCTTCTTTCCTTCTTGAGTAAGTCGATGCTTACGCTCTATCTTCAACATGGCTGCTCCGAACGAAAAGACGAGTGGCATCCTAACTGAAGCTGCTCCTGATGCTCCAGCAGTTGGACAGCCTACAGCTGGGCCCAGCCCAGAGTTGGCGAATAACTTCGAAGATGAAAAACCTACGCATGAATTCAACGAACAGACGAACTATGTCCGTCCAAGGACTATTATCACAGTAAGTTAGGTTGTAGTTCAAACGGATTTGAACACTTTCTGAGGCTAATCATCACTTTCCAGATCTTCCTGGCTTGCGCCAGCGTGGATCTCGTCGCCCTCATGGACCAGACCACGCTCGCAGCTAGTCTCAATATCATCGGCAACTCTCTCAATGCCAGTAATCAGACAGCGTGGATTGCCAGCGGTTACTTCATGTATGTACAAGCGATCATCTATCGCGGTAGCAAGGTAGCTAATTGATTCAACCAGAACATCCACTGTCGGCCAGCTCCTCTACGGACGGCTGTCGGATATTTGGTCGCGGAAAGTAATCCTACTCATTGGCTTGGCGATCTTCTTCACCGGATCTCTCGCCAGTTCAGTCTCAAATACTGGGACCCAACTCATCGTCTTCCGAGCTTGGACGGGTATCGGAGGCGGCGGTTTGATGACCGTCGCTCAAATGATCGTGAGCGATGTGGTGCCGCTCAGGGAAAGGGGCAAGTATCAGGGCATCTTGGTAAGTCTTTCGCTACCTAGGTGGTCATGAGCTTGAGTGAGAATATTATTGTTCCACAGGCCACGACTATCACTGTTACTCTCTGCAATTGCTGACACTATTGAAGGGTTCTGTAGTTGCTATTGCAAATGGAATAGGGCCAGTCATCGGCGGAGCTCTTGCTTCCCAGTCCAAAGACTCATGGAGATGGATCTTCCGACTCAACATGCCACTCACTCTTCTATGTACACTCTGCGTCATCTTTTTCATGCCGCTTAGGAAGGTGGAAGGCAACTGGAAACTGTGTGTACCTATTCCTATCCGAACGTAACCTGTTGAATCCGAGACATTGCTAACATAATGCCCAGCAAGCTCAAAGCTGTCGACTTTGTTGGAAGCTTCCTTGCTTTGGCTGGAACAACCGTACTCATGCTCGGCTTGACGTGGGGTGGGGGTGACCATCCGTGGAACTCAGCGCACGTCATTGCCACTCTCGTAGTGGGATTCTTCGTCTGTATCGGCTTCATCCTGTGGCAGTGGAAAGGCGCCAAGTTTCCTCTCGTGCCATGTGAGTTGAGACCATTGACTGTCGAGAGGTTGAAACTGATCGAGGCCTCTAGTACACATTTTCAAGTCGAAGATCGCGAATGGCGCATGTATCACCATGGCAATCAACGGATGGAACTTTGTCGTCCAGGTCTATTACATCCCCGCCTTCTACCAACTAGCCTACGGGTACTCGGCAACGAAGTCCGGCGCCATGCTTCTCCCAGTCACTTTGACGCAGACGCTTTTCAGCACGTTGGCAGGTCTCGTAGTACACAAGGTCGGGCGCTACCGAGAGTGCATCCTGCTGGGTTGGGTGATGTGGGCCGTAGGCATCGGTTTGATGTCGACACTCGACGAGTTTTCAAGCGTGGGGAAGCAAGTTGGATACTCGCTACTTGTTGGTGCAGGCGTTGGCAATACATTACAGCCGTAAGTGAAAAAGCCCGTTTCGAATCACTGAGTCAAGCTAATTGACGCGCCTTCAGGGCACTGATCGCGATCCAGGCCGGTGTGAGTAGAAGGGACATGGCTGTGGTTACCTCGTTCAGGAAGTAAGCCATCTTCATATCGTTCCTTGTGGTAAGAGATGACTGACAATGTATAGCTTTATACGTAATTTCGGAAGCACTATTGGGCTTGCCATCTCCGGGACCATCATGTGAGTCTACACATTCTTCCGACTCCACAAGTACCCACGATATCCTCCAGCATAACTGACTTATGCTTTGCAGCAATAATATCCTGGCAAGCAATATAGCTAGCCTTGGGCTGGGAGATGACGAGTCTCGGAAGCTGCTCGCAAATCCTCAGCAAGTGCTGTCCAGCCTCCCTCAAGCCGAGGCACAAAGGCTAAGGGCTGCAATCTTGCCTGGCTACAGAAGGGCATTTCGTATCATCTTCCTGGTCATGGCAGGGCTTGCGGCCGTCGCATTCTTTGTAGCGTTCTTCTTGATGCCACAAGTAGAATTGAGCAGGCCTGACGATGCCAAGTTGAAGGAGGAGGCCCGTGGAAAGGATGACAAAACGCCAGTCGATGAGACGGAAACAAAGGCTTGAAAGTTTCTGTAATTTCTAAAAAGTGAACAGACAACGAGGCAAAGACTTCATGTCGAGTATTTGCCAATGGTCTGCATCCGCTCCCTTGGACTCGAAATTCCAGAGCTGTTCCCAACAGTAATGCAATGATACGCTCGCTCTAGATTCAGATCCTCACATCTGTCATACACCCTGGAATCCAAACATACAAGCTTCGAAAACATCTCTCTCACAATCGCGCTTATTTGCACTTCTGGCCGCAGTGGACGTGAGGGTAGTCATCGGGGCAAGTGCACCTGAGCCATAGGAACTTATCCTTGCATCTTCCCATTGTGCAGGCACCGTTGTCGTCTGTGCAAGCAGTTCCCGCGGACGAAAATGTGAAGGGTTGACAGCTCTTGGTGATTGCCGTGACAGTACCGGCTGCGTAAAGTCCGGTGAGGATGAGAGACAGCTTCATCTTCTGTCTTCAGGTCAGTACAGCATACTGTGGAAAGTTATACCTCTTGGCGGATGACCTACAGAAAAGATATTGGGTCAAAATCGACGGTTTATGAGACTGTTTGAAGAGGTGATGTAAGGTTGACAGGCAGTGTAAACTCATAGCCCCAAGGAGACGCCTTTATTTAAATGCGTAGTGAGACTCACGTTACCAGATGTTAGCACCCAAGGTTTTCGGTCATTAATTTGCTGAGTCCAAGTCAGAGAAACTCTGTTTATACGAGTTGTCGTGATCGGACTCATGCCATGGTCATTTCAGCTGTTCCCACCGTTGTCACTAACCAGGTCCCAGGTTGTCAACGACTGGTCTTGTGGACCCATCTGGCGTTATGCTTCATCAGAGAGTGCGGGCTATCCGTACCATGATTCGAGATTATTTCGTCAATTGACAGAAATGTACATGTCGCCCAGCCCAAAACCGACGTTAACTGAATTAAGCCGGTTGCGAAACATGCTCAGTCATACAAGCTTCCTTCGGTAGGCTTGTGAACCGGGCTATTTCCTTCTGATGCGTGGGCACTTTCTCGCAACATTGAAATATCGACAAGGAGCGATCGGGGGATCAGTTGTAGGGTCCGCTGTAATGGTCTGTACCTACAGCAGAGCACCAGCTGCCACCGCACGGCGTAAGTTGCCGAAATCTGGTAACGCAACCCATCAATTGACGGCACCAGAGTCTTTGCGTCTGTGGTCCAGCTGGTCGCTCTGACTCGCTCACGGTACCAAAAACAGCTAAATATCGTATTCCCTGAAGATCGCTCTGTTTCGCACAGTTCATCATTACTCCTGATCTTTATGAGAGATTGATGTAAGACGTAGGCATCTCCATAGACCCAAACCTTATTGTCCGCGTTACCGGTTGCGCGGCGCCATCTTCGGCACTGCCGATAGGACAACCTCTACTCATGCCGCAAGTCAACACGATCGATCACTCAGTGTAGCGTATTAACCACAATCCAATACTTGGAAGAATTGAATGAAGCCCCAAGCGAAGGGAAGTTGCACAGGCCACAACTCTAGGGGCTCAGTTACATATCGCCTGGATATAGGTTGATGTAAAGCCCATATTAAGCCAACGCGGGCCGCAAACTCAGTTAGACCATCGTCCCTCGAAGCTTATTCTTATTAACTCCTGACTTAAGCTACTGGCCAAAGATGTGAGGCTGACGGAACTGCCACTACGACTTGGTAGTGCCCCTACCTGGGAAAAGTCCGAGACCGACGGTCCTACATGTCAATGATTATCCATATTACACCGAGATCAGAAATGGGGGAGTATTCACGTGAAGTTGAGACGACGGGAAAGCCATGACAAGAAGAAGGAAGCCATCACCAATGATAGCTGGCCTCTTTGAAGAATTGAAGAAATACTCCTCAATTTGGGCTTACTCCAACGCATGTAGACGTGCAAGGCATTCAACGAAATAAAATATGTCGAGACCACTATATGGTAGCCAGACTGATGATCGATAGGTTCATGCTTTTTGCTCAGCATGCCCTCTGGTGGGTGGCAACGCGGAACAGCACCTGCAGCATGTCTCTAACGACATCGAGATCGGTAGCGCCTGGTCTTGGAGGTACGAAAGCCTTCCTGACTTCATGAGGCAGGCGCAGTTATCCGCTTCAGCAGTAAAAGGGTAGATTGACCTCATGGAAATCGACGATGATGAGGCCCCGAGCAGGAGCTGCTGCCGAAAAGGACCAATTCAACACCGATGAACTCAATTAAGGAAGACAAGCGCGTACGGCATGCCCTCACAAGACCACAGAAACATCACGTCAAGGACAGAAGTATGTAGATGCCTATAAATGAAACGGTTTCTAGACGGTGCAAACCAGAACCCGAGATCAACGAAGGATCCAATCCCAGTATTACTCTCCAACCACCCACAACCCAAGGGTTTTACCAGCAGCGCCTTTCATGGGTGAACCATTCTCTCCCAAGGGAGTGAAGGCCACCATTAGTTATGCTGCGGCGGGCGGCCGTTGCTATCTGAGGAGAGAAAAAGGGAAAAGTGAGAGGAAAACACGCGCAAGGTCGACGCGGTTTTGTGTGCCACGAGAGAATTTTCCAGGCTGGTCTGTGCGGGAGGTGGTGCTTAGCTAATGATGGCCGAGTGGGTCCTGTCCTTACCCTGAGGTTCTCGTCTAAGCTTTTTTCCGGTCAGCGCCCAGCGAGGTTCCTGTCCCTTTGCGGCGAAGATCACGTGGTCACGAAAGCTTAGGAAGTGGTCTGCGCTGATTGGTCAACGGGTAGCCGAAAAGCCGAGGGGATTCCCGTGCTTCGCTTCAATCGGAGAGTCCAGCGATCCAAGGTGCAGAGTCTCCAATTTATTCTTCTTTGGTGCAAGGAGCTTGACATCAACACCCTCAAACCCCCGACGACTCGAATCCCCTCCGCCTGCGGCCGAATTCCCAACGCGCCCTCCCCGATTTCGAAATCGTACCGATCACCAAGTAATCACGCTTTATACCGACACAATGATTGCGCAAAGGGTGGGCGTGTCGGCCATGCGCCGAGGTTCGTTTACATCATCGATGCCCCGAATGGATCAGAGGACAATGGAAGACTGACGAGAGATACAATCGACAGCGGCAGCGAAGCCCTCCGTTTTCTTCAACCAGCAGATCCCCAAGATCGTTGCTTCACAAAGCATGTCGACGAGCCAGTCTCGGTACGCAATTGGCCTTCCCACGTCTCCCCTTTGCCTTTGAAGCACATGCTTCCGACTATTCCCTCACAAACGAGTCAAACACCCAGACACTCGATAAACCAGTATCAAATCCTAACATGATCTACCATCGTCACAGTCCCGTCGCAACCACCAAGCTCACCCCCCAAGATGGCCTCGAGCTCCTCGCAAAGCAGCGCCTCAGCCGCCCCATCTCCCCGCACCTGACAATCTACAAGATGGAGCAGACCTGGTTCGGCGCCTCCATTTGGACCCGTATCACCGGCGGCGGTCTCTCAGCCGCCTTCTACGTCTACTTTGGCACCTACCTCGTCGCGCCCCTCCTCGGATGGCACGTCGAGAGTCAATCCCTCATCGCTGCTTTCGGTGCCCTCCCGCTCGCCGCGAAGGGTGGCCTTAAGTTCCTTGTCGCCTGGCCCTTCACCTTCCACTTCTTCAACGGCATCCGCCACTTGACCTACGATTTTGCTCTCGGCTTCGCCAAGCCTGAGATTGTCAAGTGGGGCTGGGTTATCTGGTCCAGCTCGCTCGTTGCGGCTGTCGGCCTCGCCTTTGCGTGGTAAATTGAGAAGGAAGTTGGGGGTCAGGGAGCGCCAAAAGGATCAGTAGATGTGGTGGCACGTGGTAATCGGGTACAGGGACGCGGCAAGGAGACGACGGCTGGTCATAAGGACTGAAGGGGGACGAGAGGAAGACGAAGAGTGATGGGAGATTTGGGGGGTAACCTGGAGTTTTATTGGTTGGCGCCTGGAAATTGCTAGGCGTTCGGCCTCCCTAAGCTTAAAGCGAGAGGGATTGTATAGACTGAAAGCTGTAAAACGAATTCCCTTGAGTAACAAGCATGTTAATCAATTGTTCCAACCATATTGTGTGGTCTTTCACTGAGTGTTGGCTGCAAACTCTCTTTCCTCGGGGACATCATAAAATGGAAGAGCATACCAAGCTTGTATCCACGTTCAGGGCAAGATTCGCGCCGGGACAGAATGGTATCAGCAGAGTGGATCAAATTAACATCATCGTCAGCCTCTCTTACGGACTATAAAACACAGGCATTATTCGAGGGACAGTGAATAAATCATGGGTTAACTGCCAGACGCCAAGGGTCTCAATTTATGTGGTATGCCTCCCTAAAACCATGTTTTGCCCTGCCTGATCCAAACGCCGTTACGCCTTCCAAAGATCGTCACCACTAGCCGGACTGCTACTCGATATTCCTAGCATCCAAGACGTGTTTGATCAGTCTCCGGTTGCCTAGACTATTCAGCCGCTCTCCGAGGATGGGCCCGACGAACTCGTTGAGTTCAGCAGCATAGCTATTGGCGCTTCCGTTTATGCCATTGACGGTTGTTCTGTCGTCCTCAATCATTGTAGCAATGGCTTTGAGAATTCCACCGACGAGCATCTCAAACTCGATGCTCTCGCCCTTGTCCTTGAGGGGCTGCAGAATGTTATCGTTGTAGGCCCTCAGGCATTTGAGGACCAAAACCCGCACCGCCTCGGGGCCACCAGCGGAGGCAACGCCCGTGATGGCACCAAAGTGCGTCGAGGGCGGCTTATCGGGGTCCATGAAGAACTTCAAGCATGTGCGCACCAACTTGGGCCGTAGCAGATTATTCGAGGCAGCGTACTTGCGCGCAATCTGGCCAAGGAGCGACGCGGAGAATTCCCTAAGCTGGTATTGCTCACGCATGGCGTCCGCACCATCCTCGGCACCGATTTTACGGCTAAGGATGCACGTGAGCACAGGGGAGGCGATGGAGTTGGCGTAGGGGTCAAGGTAGAGCTTGGTGTTTGCGATGAGGGCGGCCGTAAGCTCCATGGCCTGGCGAAGTGTGAAGACGTCGTCGAGACGGTGGGTGACCTGGTTCGCGACGAAGTTTATAAAGTAAGGGATCAGCTGGTGCAGACCCGGATCGTCGCGAACGGATTCGAGGGCCGCCTGACGAAGGCGCACCACCTCTTCGTCGGGATTGTCATCAAGGACGGCGTTTTGAACCTTTTCGAAGTAGAGGATGAGTTCCTTGGATACGACGTGCTTCACGGCGGGACGGAAGGAGAGATTGTCGTTGCCGGCGAGGGCAGCGAGAGCAGGGTTAGCACCCTGGCCCTTTGGTACGAGTTCTTGACTTCGTGATTCGGCCGTGGTGGGGTTCTGCGGGATGGAGGGTTGGACGCCCTCGATGGCGAGCCAGTGTGCTAGAAATACAGCAATTAGCAGACGATACATTAGAGACAAACTAAAGAAGATGAAGTGACATACCCGTAAAGCTCATATCACGCGGCACTTTGGGCAGAGGAGCGTTGATGAGCTTCTCAAAGTCGACCTCCTCGTCTTCGAGGTAAAAGAGCGGTTGCCCGGGTCCCAAGCTAGCCTCGCCATATCGCAGTGGACGCGTCGAGTCGTATCCGTAGAGAGGCTCAATATTGAGAGCCTTGAGCGCAGTGCTAATGTCGTTGACGGTCAGAGTGGTGCGACGGGAAGCACGCATGAAGCGCAGCGCCTCGACGAGGACTTGTCCGATTCGATACTCGACATCTTGCGTCAGGCAGCGCAATGCATCGTCGTTAAGGTTGGGAATTCCGACGGACTCGGCGACGTCTTTGACATTGTCTGGGTTCCAGAGGAGCTTTGGCGCGTCCTGTTGCGCCATCGCGCCGGTGGTATATAAGTTCAAATGGTGAACGCGACGACGAAGATGCTTGTGGTGGAGGAAGAAGACGAGGCTGAGTGATGGAAACTTGGGGTAGGACGGGGCACGGCTGAGCTAGGGGATGAGCTCGGGACGCCGCAGCGCAGATTCAGCCCACTGCACGGTGGAAGGTGAGATCCTCGGTGTGGGGCCAACAGGAATCGGCAACGGAAGGTGCAGTCAGCAAGTTCTACCTTACAGAAGCATGCAGATACGTAACTCTTCCATTACTGTTCAAATCAGATAGTACCTATTTAGTAGAAATGTATATTTTCTCGCGTAATACTCACCGATCCTGCTTCGTAGAGTGCCTGACTCATATTTATGAATATCTTGATCAAGGGTTGACTGAACGCTATCAGGATGGTGGTGGAAGCATTTACACCACTATTGCTCGTCTCTGGCTTCATCAAGTCAGCCAGAAGACGACCAAGCTTATTGACTTCACATGTCGAGGTCGGCATTGCAGACTTTGCAAGCCTTGCGTACCTGTTTAATACAAACACTCATCCCGTATCTCTGGCGTTCTTGGCACTGTCTGTGATCTTGGATGGGGATATGCCTCGCCTTAATATTGCTGGCTCGACGGTTTCCATAGCTTCCAGGCCTAACGAAGTCAGACATTATGACTTGTCGTAAGGTGCCTCCGGTAAAACAGTTTGTAAGATGATTGACCAAAACTCGCCGAGAGTCAGCCAACTCCCCTAACTCCATGTTCCCCCGATTCTTGTAACTGCGCCGTGTCATGACAAAGAGCGGAACGGCGCTAATGCAATTGGATTATTTTATGGGTCCAGAGCCGGTGCCCGGGCCCCGGAGATGCGGGCAACACCCATGCTGTGATGCCGAGAGCGAACGTGTAAGTCGACGAGAGGGTTGGTTTTTTGGTGTATTCGATTATTTTCCTCTTGGAGCTCTGTGTTGGACTGATAAGTATAAAGGGCTTGCTAGACCATGATGAGAATCCCTTCTCTAAGTCCAGCATTCACAACACTCACACCCTCTTACAACCTCTTACACGCTCAAGAGCTTGTTCTGATCGCCTTCCTCTATCGTTCACGTTACTCTCCACATCAATATCTAGCTTGCTTTCACCATGGAATCTATGAAATATGTGCGGTAGGCTCTCCACATGTTCCAACTGCCCTAAGCAACTGTCTCTAACATTCTCAATAGCGTGGGCAAATCCGGCCTCAAAGTCTCCCAAATCATCCTCGGCTGCATGAGCTTCGGCGACAAGAACTGGCAGCCCTGGCTTCTCGACAAGGACGAGGCCCTCCCCATTCTCAAATACGCCTTTGACCGCGGCATCAACACCTGGGACGTGGCCGACACGTACTCCAATGGCCGCTCAGAGGAAATTGTTGGCGCCGCCATCAAGGAGTACAACATCCCGCGCTCCAAGCTCGTCGTCATGTCCAAATGCTTCCAGTTCGTCGACGAGAACAAGGGGCCCATCGACCCGGCCAACTTGACCAGCAACGAGGGGCCCCGCGTGAACCAGGTCGGCCTATCCAGAAAGCACATCTTCGAGGCCGTGGAACGTAGTGTTGAGCGTCTCGGCACCTACATTGACGTGCTCCAGATCCACAGGATGGATCGCGACGTGCCCCCCGAGGAGATTATGAAGGCCCTTCACGATGTTATTGAGAGTGGCAAGGTCCGCTACATTGGCGCCAGCTCAGTGAGTCTTCGACAAGGACGCTTCTCTCACTGTTCCCTTCCTGTTACTAACAATCAGCAGATGGCCGCCTGGGAATTCCAAATGCTCCAAAACGTAGCAGCCCGCAACGGCTGGCACCAATTCATTTCGATGCAAGGCCTCTACAACCTCCTCTACCGCGAAGAAGAGCGCGAAATGAACGCCTACTGCAACGCCACCGGCGTCGGCCTCTTCCCCTGGTCGCCCCTCGCCGCCGGCGTCCTGACGCACGCGTGGACCGACCGTTCGGACCCGCGCGAGCAAAAGGACCCCTTTTTGCAGATGCTGTTCCGTGGCGCGGAGAACGGCGCCGACAGGGCCATTGTCGGGCGCGTCGAGGAGCTGGCGGGGAAGAAGGGCGTGAGTATGGCGCAGGTTGCGCAGGCGTGGCTTATTTCAAAGGGGTGCATGCCCATTTGCGGTTTGGAGACCAGGGAGAGGATTGATCAGGCCGTGGGCGCTTCAAAGGTCAAGCTGTCTGAGGAGGAGGTCGACTATCTCGAGGAGGTGTACGTTCCGAAGTTGCCCATGCCTTTCTAGGTGTTGCAATTACTGTGGTGCCGCATTTGGGGATAAGTTTTGTCAATCGAGTCAGCTAATTGCCCTTGTCCTGTTCTCTTCAAGATTCATACGTATGGGCAGTATGTAAGTAGGGATGGTCTTTACATGGGATTTACTTTCCCCATACCTACCGAAGTTCCAGAAATTCCATGTAAGTGCAGCAAGTTCCGACGATTGGTAACACAAGAAATTCACAAAGCCCTTCATGCAGGCAGATCCTCACATCTGTCCCGCATCGGCATCGGCAAAATGCACGTCATGCGCCTGAACAGAAGCAGCAGCTCAGCAGGAATTTCCCAACCTGCAAGAGTGACTATCGAGTCTAGCGTCATCATCTAGACAATGGTGACTTGATGTCTCGGATGTTGATTCGCCGGACTCACTCGCCGCTAAGATGAGTCTCGCGGGGGTTCGACCTCTTAGCGGATTCGGTACCAGCAGAACCCCTCGGCTGGAATTGGAGGAAACCAGACAGACACCGCCAGATAAGGGAATCTGACGCCATGGTCGAATAGACACCGGAAAAGGTCAGCTTTTGGGTATGGGGGTCAGGCTCGCTCTGCGCTTGCGACATTGTTGTTTAGCTCAGCCTCGCCTTCAGAAGTGTCGCGACTTGCAACATCTGTAGTCATTGATATAAGTGACAATGGAAGTTTCAAGCGGAACAGATGAGAGGCATGAGCCGCCGGCAGAGGGATCCAACGAACCCAACGAAGTGCAAGGCAGCCTCCGAACGGTGCAATCGACGGTTGACGATGATCGATCCAGCAGACTGACGTCGAGCGCGCTCGACGAGCTCAATGCGTCGCACATTGACAGCAGCACTTCTGTGTCGCTAAGCATCGACACAGACATCAGCGACGCCGACTCGGCCATGGGAATTGATCCTGGCCGCGCCTCTTCGTCCGCCTCGGTGGCATCGAGCGTGTATCGCTTCGTGGAAGAGTTTGGCAGGACGTATCACGCATATAAAGAAGGAAGTAAGTCTGCGCGACCGCATGCAGAAACTTACCTTTTGGAAGCGTGCTGACTGACACCTCGCCCGCAGAATACTTCCTCCCCAACGATGAGGTTTGCAAAGTCCCCTTACATGCGATACTGCCAAGCCCGTGAGTGAAACTAACACACCCCCGAGCAAGAGCAAAGCCGCCTAGACCTCCAACACGCCATCGCCCTGCGCATCTTCAACGACAAGCTCGGCCTCGCCCCCGTCTCCAACCCCCACCGCGTCCTCGACATCGGCACAGGCACCGGCATCTGGGCCATCGAGTTCGCCGACAGGTACCCGGCATCGGAGGTCCTCGGCACGGACCTGAGCCCCATCCAGCCGGAATACGTGCCGGCAAACTGCCATTTCGAAATCGATGACGCCGAGGACGAGTGGGCGTTTAGCCAGAAATTCGACTACGTCCACGGCCGTTATATGTGCACCTCCATCTTTGACCTTCCTAAACTCTTTGGGCAGATCTACGAGAACCTCAACCCGGGCGGCTGGGTCGAGTTCCAAGAGACCGTCATCGACTTCAAGGCCGTGGACGGGTCGCTCGAGGGCACGGCGCTGCGGCGGTGGAACGATCACCTCCTCGAGGGGATCCGCAAGGCCGGGCGGGACGCGCTCTCTGCCCTTGAGTACGCGCGGCACATGACGGACGCGGGGTTCCATAACGTTGAGCAGAAGAGGTTCGCGGTACCGGCGTCGCCTTGGGCGAAGGGGAGGAACCAAAAGATTTTGGGCGCCATGCAGATGACGAATAACCTTGAGGGGGTGCAGGGTATCACGATGAAGATCTTTTGCCAGGTGCTGGGCTGGACCCGAGAGGACGCCGAGATGTTGCTGATGGATGTGAGGAAGGATATGGCGGATAAGAATATCCACGCGTATATCACGACGTGAGTCCTTTCTTCGCGTTTGATGGTTATCTGCTACTCGTACTGACGATGATTGATGTAGTATGTCGGTTTGGGGGCAGAAACCCCAGGAACCGGGACGGTCGGCCGTCTGAAGAGACAATGTCTGTTTTCAGGGTAGTCTTCAGGTCTCTGAGGAGGCGGAAGAAGAAATGTCCTCAAATCCGTTGCGGATTAGAGTATCCGTATGGGGGACATGCATCATATCGTGTTGAAGCTCATCTCGTTCTCGCATCGCATTGAAACTCCGCCATGTTGCGGAGTCGAAGATGAAAAAGTGTTGCTGTTAATAATTTGCCGCGACAGCTGTCGTCCAAGACGTTGGGGCAGTTGCTCAGCCTATTATGCAAACACGATTCATGTTCCGTTCGTCTCATGTAAGAGCTACCTTGGCTGAAGAATGGGCGTTTGATAGTGATGTGTGAACCCAAGCCAACCAAAAACCTAGCTGCAAACACGACCTTTACCACACCTTTAGAGTGTTGGTTAGAGCCTTGGTATCCTCAGGTATGTGAAGATGTGTGCGCGCGATACACGCATACCGCGGCACCCCCGAAGTGCTATCCGTCATGCCGTCTGGCCTTGTGGATTCGAGCCGAGGCCGTCGAGTAGGTGATCCACTTCCGATGGTCCCATACCGCCGTGGAAACACTGGGAAAACCGACAAGGGAAAGGGCGGTGCTATCACTCGTGTCACTGTGCCGTTGGGTTCCGTGATGTTCATGCCAAGTTGGCCGATGGTCCGGCGAATCTGTGCCGGAAAGGGCATCAACGCCGGTGGGGAGGGGCGCATCTTGGCTCTTGCCTCCTCTCCACGCAGCGGTACGAGATACATTCATCGGCGTTACAGCAACTCGGCCCATCGGCATTAAGACTTTTTTATTAGACTCTTAGTAAGCCATGTCTTCGATCAACTTGCCAATTCCAGTTTCCACCATGTAACGAGGGCCAACTTGATCAAAAGAGACGATCTTCTTCGTCAAACTTGTTCAAACCCCACTCGCTCTGACCGATCCATCCACTCGGCTCGTCGTATTTGCAACATGCTAACCCCAGACCCTTGGCCCCCCTCCAGAATGCTCGGATGCCCCTTCTGGCAAGGCATGGAAGCAGCCGGAGAGTTTATTCGCCCGCATTGCTTTGTCACCCCGGCGTAAACACTCTGATTGACAGACATACCGCGGGCGTACGCCGCACTTCTTCAAAAAAGAAGCTGTGGAGTTCTTTCCGTGGGACCGCTGTGAAGAATTTGTTGGCGCGGGGTTATAGTCTCTCTCTTTCACTGCCAGCTTACAGACATGAGCGAGTCATACCAAGTGCCAAAGGTACACGCTGCCAGGCCCGAATTTCAACCACGACACATGTCACTCAGTCATCATTCTGCTTTGGAAGAGGGCGAAGCATATGCCAGGGGCAGAACTCAGAGAAAACCATCACTGCCGTGACGTCAACCTGACCAATTGGCGGGGTGAAGCTCTTCATGCACTCCCTCCCCCCTTTCCGCACCTTAGCCAGCACATTCCGCTTCGTGCTAGGGGGATAAGCTCAATGGCATCTCGGACAAGCTGCTTGTTTCCCAATTGTGGGGTCATGGCCTGAAGATGATTACCATGATGGCCAGACCGTCGATGGAGCTACCCATGTGTATGATGGGGATGCGACGAAACTACAAAAGAGCTAGATGCCCCGCGCGAATAAACTGCTTGAAATAGAAACTCAGTACACTCAACTTTGATACCCAAGATACCCTCTCAAACCAAATCAAATAACTCTTTCATCAACTCTCTACCCTTTCATACACACACAACATCATACACAATGGCTCCCAAGGTTCTCATCGTTCTCACCTCCGTCGACAAGACTGAGAAGTCTGGCAAGCCCATCGGCTGGTACTTGGTACGTTCCCATCAACCACCGGTCTTCCCACGCCAAGTTCCGGTGAGCTAACTGTCTATCCAGCCCGAGCTCGCCCACCCCTTCGATGTTCTCAAGGAGGCCGGCGTCGAGATGACATTCGCCTCTCCCAAGGGCGGTGCCGCGCCCCTCGACCAGGCCTCTGTCGAGATGTTCGCCAGCGACCCCTCCTCCAAGAACTTCCTCGAGAACCACAAGGCCATCTGGGAAAACACCGAGAAGCTCTCCAACTTTGTCGGCCGCGCTTCCGAGTTTGACGCTATTGTATGTTTCCCCCTCAATACAATTTTACCTTGGAACCAACAGCTAACACTACAACCAGTTCTACCCCGGTGGCCACGGCCCCATGTACGACCTCGCCTTCGACGCAACCTCTCACGCCCTCATCGCCGAGTTCGCTGCCCAAAACAAGCCCGTCGCCTCAGTCTGCCACGGCCCCGCCGCCATCGTCAACGCCAAGCTCAACGACGGCACCTACCTCGTCGCCGGCAAGACCGTCACCGGCTTCTCCAACACCGAGGAGGACCAGGCCGGCTTCACCCCCGAGATGAACTTCATGCTCGAGGACCGCCTCAAGGAGAACGGCGGCAAGTACGAGCTCGCCGCCGAACCCTGGGGCGAAAAGGTAGTCGTGGACGGCATCGTCATTACTGGCCAGAACCCGGCCTCCGCTCACGGCGTCGGCAAGGCCATTGCCAAGGCTCTTGGCTTGTAAGGAAAGCCCTCTGGAAGAGAACATGTCGTATGAAATATCATGAATGGGATCTAGGGAAGGTTATATAATTATGTCAAAATTTGAAGCGTTTTTGCCAAACCACAAAGGGACCCTCTGCCAAACTCAATTGGAACACGTCAAGTTGCCTCGTGATTACGGATTTCCTATAGCTTAGAGTGTTAAGGAGTCGTTTTCTCGGGCTGACAAGAAAACACACACCATGCATCGTCAGGCCTGGGCAACTGGAAAACTCAGATGCTTGACAAATAAACTCATACGGCGCACATTGATTGTATCATTGGAGTCCAAAAGAAACAAACTACTAGTACTTTTCCCATTCGTCACTAACTTTTCTTTGACAATGCGATACACCATTATGAACGATAACTGTAACTGAGTGATGCATCTGGCACACTCGCAAACGCCCATTTCCATCTAATGCAAAGTGGTATGCCTTGATCTCCGGACACCTGATTATACAGTCCACCCATTCGATACTTTCCCCTCCTTCACAGGGGCTCCAAGAGCTTGTCCACAAACGCCAAGACATAAGAAATAAAACCCCAGGCCTTTGGTTTCAATAGCCTTTGTCGCCAATGAAGAGTTCAGAAGCTGAAGCAGGGTGGAGCAGGCCAGAAGTCCTAGTCGCCGTCGAGCAATGCATCCATGCCGTTTCGCTCACTTTCAAGGCTCTCCGCTGTGATGGGGCCATCAAAGGTCTCCTGCTTCCTCTTGACTTCGTCATCATCTTGGTTTGTAAGGTCGTCAAACATCTTGTTCACGACTCGCTCATCTTCTTGTGAATGGGGCGCAACATCCCTGCCGTTGAGCATGCCAACGTCCCCTTTGAACACGTCGGGACCGAACATCTCTACTGCCCTCTTACGGCCAACTTCTGTCCGGCGCAGTATGTCAAGGGCGTGATTCCTTCCAGCCTCGGTGTGCAGGTTAAGCCCATCTTCTTGACCCTGGAGGAGGCGTTCTTCAAGAGACATCGAAGAGTTGCCGCCGACAAGCTGGGGGCCCGGTGCACCATTAGACATGAAGAGGCCTGGGTGAAGTGTCGGAGCACTGTCAATGTCCATGGGATCATGATTGCTTCCAATGGATTGACGGCCGACATTGCCGTGGGAGGTAGAAGGAGGCGTTGCAGACGATTGTTCCGACTTCCGACTGTGGCCATGTTGAAGGCCAGGTGGCAGCACAGTTGCGCCAGACGCAGAAGTGGCAGCCGCTGCTGCAGCGGCGGCAGCGGCAGCTTCGGCATTCTGAGCCTTCCGCTTCAAGCTGGCAGCCTTGGCCTTCATGTTCTCCGGGAGGTCCTCTGCATCGTCCACCCCAAACTGCGCCAAAAGCTTTTGAAGCTTGGTCGGTCGCGGCTTCCGAGTACTCTTGGAGACCTCAAGAACCGGTGGTGCGTTTGGTGCAACAGGGCACCACTTGTGCAACTCTTGCCTGAAGAAGTTGGTCTCGTAGGCAAGCAAGATTTCAGCGCCTTCAATCTTCCGCAAGTAAAAGCGCTGGGTGTCCGCCTCAGACTCAGTGGAGACCACAGGATTGCAGTAGCCGGTGATGTGGTTTCTGAAGTCCTGAGCATTGTCGATGATCTTGGTAAGGACCTCCTCCTCCTCGGGCTGGAATGGGAGGCTGGGAATCTTATCAGACCAAGCAATGAGCTCTTCGATCTTGGGTCGCGCTGCATCTCGCGGAATCTTAACCCGCCAATCGCAAATGGGGCACGTGTACTTGTCTTCGTCCTTGACCTTGCCGCGAGCAATCTTCAGACATTTGCCGTGGTACCTAGAGACGTTAGCTAATTGAGTAGATCTTAGAAGGCCACATCAAAACATACCATTCATGACAGAGCTCGCACTCAATCATCATGCCAGCCTCCACCTTTCGGCAAATGCAAAATACCTCGCGGAACCGTGGGTCCTCCCAACGGTGCACCTTTTGGTCGGGACTGGCTTCCCTCGATGCAGGTTCGGCAGGCATGCGAGGCTTGTCATTGACAATGTCAAAGCAGTCTTGATTGCGTTCCAACACGTAGTCCATGTGGCTCTTGAGAATATGGAGCGGTGCGTTGGTTTTGCCAAATAGCTTCTTACCCTCTCGCATCCAGTCCTCGTGACGTTTCTGCTCCCGCTCGAGGTCCAAAGTCCCATTGGGTTTCGAATTCAGCTCGTCGAGTCGGCGCATGATCTCAGCCACCTCTGCGTACTTGGGTCGATTGCGGATGTCCCGGTCTCGTGATCTTTCAGTCAAGTCCATGATCTGACGGTGTGCCTCCCTCTGCTTGTAAAGAATCTGGTCGACAGCATTCAGGGTTTCCGCAGTGACCGGTAGGAAATTGGCCTGGACCTGCACCGATAAGGCCTCCAGCTGTGGGTAATGGATGACCTCTGCGATAATCAACTCTCTAGCCTTCTTCTCCCATTGTTGACCAGCAGTCATCTGTTCAATGTA